GTGCTCTTCCGATCTCCCCAAAACCCCAAAACCCCATCATTGAATATTAAATGCAATAAAGGTAATTAAAAAAGAATTAATAGAAGTAATTATAAGTTTTGAAATGAAAGGAAAGCAATAAAATCCAAAAGCTTAAAACAATCATAAACCTTAGAACCAAAATAATTAAAGGTCTTAAAATTCAAATACTTATGCTTATCCCTAGAAACAAACTAGCAAATCACCGATGAGATAGGAGTAAGTCATTGTCTAGAATCAAGAGTTCAACTTGCTAAGTCTCAACAGAAATAATGTTGATCAGTTTTTGAATTCATAGAGAAGTTAATTGCCTCATCAATTAAATCAGATATCATAATAAATCTAGCTCACTCAGCACAACAAAAACTCCCTCTAGCCCTAGTCAAACATTCACATGCAAGAGAAGCTCATTTCTAGTTCCAGCACTGGCTTTGGCAATATTTCTAATATCAGAGACTCAGGTGAAATTAGAACTACTAACCCACTTATGTCTCCAGGGTCAATTAGCCTGCAAAGCACAGAGCCTGCTTCAAAAAGAGAAAATGTCTAGGTCTATGTCAGAATAAGACCACCCTTTTAGCATGAAATTGAAGACTAATAAAACAACACCTATTTCTATCAGAATACAGGGGACAACTAGTAAGAACTGTGGACATGTATTCAGGCTACTCCACCGTGTTGGATCACTCTCTAGAACTACCAAGATATTCCTAAGGAATTTCAATTCAACCAAGTATTCACTGATGCTTCAGCTCAACCAGAGGTCTTTTAAGAATCAGCGCTTCCTCTAGTTTTTCATGTACTTAATGGATATCATGGCTGTTATTTTGTTTATGGCCAAACAGGGACAGGCAAGACTCACACAATGGGTGTGCTTAATTAGATCAATGAAGAAAGCTAGGGTATAATCCCCTCATCTCTAGACTTCGTTTTCAAATTCTTTGAATAACAAGAAAAGGATTAATTGGTTTCAGATTGGACAGTGCATATATCTTTTTACCAAATCTATTAAGAACAAATTTAGGATTTATTCAATCCTTTGAATAAAAACTTGAACATTAGAGAGGAAGTAGGAGAGATATTTGTTGAGGATTTAGTTGAGGTACCTGTAAGAAATATAGATCAAGCTATGAACATTATAAATGCTGGCCTTGAGCACAGACAAATGGCTAGTTAAAATATGAATCAAACATCAAGTAGATCACATACTATCTTGAACATAGATGTGTTTCAAACAAAGCTAATTTCATACAATAAAACTGAGTAAGTAAATGGGAGATTGACTCTAGTAGACTTGGCTGGATCTGAAAGAGTTAGACATACAACATCAAGCGGTGCTAGACTTGAAGAAGCCAAGCATATTAACGCCAGTCTAAGTGCTCTTGGTAACGTCATTTCATCTCTAGCTAATCAAAAATCTCAGTTTATTCCCTACAGGTCCTCTAAACTTACCAGAGTTCTTTAGAATTCCTTATCAGGCTCATCGAAGATAGTTGTTTTGGCTACACTTGGACCTAGCCTCAAGAATTATTAAGAAAGTCTTAGCACCTTGCAGTTCGCTTAGCGCTGCAAAGAGATTGTATTGACTCCTTTGATTCATACAAATATGAGTCAAGATGATGAAGAGGTTTCTTAGTTGAAAGAAAGAATAATTGAGATGCAATTTGACATGGAAAGAAAGGATAGTGAATGCCAGAATATCATATTAAATATGCAATCTAAATACACCAGCTAGGAAAAGATGATACTTGACCTTAAGTATGAAAACTCAAAGTTAAGATAGTAGTTATCAGATGTGCCGATCATTGACTAAGAGTAAGATATATTAGTTATAAATTTTTAGGAAAGTTTAGCAATTACAAGATTTAGGGGTCTTTATGATAAAACTGAATAAAAAGTTATCAGATGTAAGTTTACTCTTAAAATTAAATCATATTAATAGACAATCGGATAAAACATCAATGAAGTGTTTGATTATTACTTAAAGATCGACAAAGTAAATCAGAATAATAAATCTGAAGTGGCTTAAGAACTTGAATTGGAGTTCCCATTTAACATCAAATCTAAATATAATATGAATCCTCAAGAAAGTACACATTAGTAATCATCTTAACATTACTATTAGGACTTGACATAGAACCTAGTTATGATATAATGAGTGAAGATACTTATACTCTATAAGAGATAGCCTAAAAACTGTCGATCCAAGCTAAGAGGAACTTAGAGTATGTCGCATAGTTAGGCTAAGCAACCAAGACTTAGATCTTGTTAAAGTAATATACTAGAGAATAAATCGAGGACTTCCACCTTAAAAGGGATTAATCTAAATTGAGCCAATCCGAAAACCTTAAAATACTATTGAAGGAGTTGATTGAACTGAAGAAGTCACAGATCAAGGACTCCTATAAGATGTACTTGATAAGTAAAAAGTAGCAATATACTGTGCAAGAAAAGCATCTACTGAAAGATCAGATAGTATCTGAGTTAAGGACATATATAGCAGATGAAATACTTCCCTTGCTTAAACTTGATGAGTTAAGTGAATCTTAGGAAGAAGATATTGATTAGGAGATATTGAATGTCAGTTTCACTTTGAACACACTTGAAAATGAGTTGCAAACCTTTGATAGCATGTTTAAGCAGGGTTTTTAGCAAGTAAACACAACTTAACAGCATTAAACATCGTTCTAAAACGATAGTTTCAACAACCAAGTGAGTTTCAATAATCATATCCATCATAGTAGCATTAAGGATGCAATAAACCCTGCAATGAATCTATTTTAGCAACGCAATTCACTTTTGGAGAATCACCAGCCAGAAAGAAAAATGAATTCATAATAGGATAATAACGTCTGGATTAATCTTCTGCATAATCAAAACCCTTAGAACATAAATGTTCGTAAAGATAGTAACTTTGAAATAGAAAGCCTACTTGAGAATGAGCATGAAGATGATCTGAGTTCGAGCTATAGTCCAAGCAATGCAGCAAACTAAGCCAAATCTAATAAGCAGTCTTCCTTAGTAAATGGAAACTATATAAACAGGTCTAGTAAATCATTGCAACAGTAGGACCACCAAAATATGAGCAAACTTATCAGTAAGCAATAGATGTTTAAGAAGCAGAGGATATTTGGCAATGGATCTTCAGATTCCTCTTAGCAGGATGTTATCTAGGAAGAGGAAAAGGAGTCTGACTATACTCTGCAGACTGAGGATAGAGGCTAGTCTCCTGACTTGAGATCTTAAAAGTAAGAGACATAGAGCAAATCATTAAACATGAACACTAGTGGGAATCAGTTTCAGATAAGTCAGTTTAACGAGACTCAGAACAGCGGTGGAAGTGGCAATAATTAAAATTAGATGATGAATACATCTAGACTTAAAAATCTTGCTAGCAAACCCTAGTAAAGCCAGTCCAAGGTAATGAGAGCTGACAAATTGATAATGTTGAGTAAGGGATTTACAGAGAGGTGCATGCTTAAATTCATAAATCATTTTGTAGCCTAAAAACCAGATTAGAATCTAGGAGCAGGCTGTGGTCCTGTGAATCCTTAGAAGAAAATGATAGGAATCTCTTAATAAATAATGAACGATCGCTTAAATGACGATATCAAGTCACTTTAAAATTCAATACAACCTTAACAGCAGCCTTATTATGTTTAGAAAAAGACAAAGAACAGCAACCTCAGCATTTCGAGCAGTAACAAAATAAGAGTTGACAGCTCTCCTTCTGTAAGTGGAAAAGAGGAGGCAAGATAGTAGCATGAGAGAGCTCACAGTAAAAACTAAAATTACATATACTCTGATGAATATGATCAAAATTATAACGATGGAGGTTCAACTTATTATAAAAACAATTCTAAAAATTCAAAACAGAAAGTAGAAATTAAAAAATATAAGAAATCATTGGAATCAGATGAAAATGATGAGGAATCTAAGATTGTTGTTAAAACTAACGATCAAACTATAAGGGACATGTAGAATTAGATAAGGAAATAGAATTTTATCGAGAAGGGATAATAGCAATAGTAGTAGTTTAGCCAGCCACTTAATCTAGATAAAAGATTTACTTTCAGTTAAAATTAAATACCCTCAACTAGTGAAATATAGCGGAAGAACTCATAGATATCAAGTAATTCTAGGACATTTTATATAAGGAATGGCAGTTTAAAGACTAATTCATAGGAGTCTGTGGAGAATGAGGATAGCGATGATTAATGATTAAATTATTTATGAAATTAAGTATATTAATAATAGCATTAAATCATAACTTATTTTATAGTGCCATTCTCATTTATTCCTGGGAGAGAGTGATCTCTTTTTTACTTCATTTAATTTGATTGTACTGCTTTGGCTAAATAACTTTAACTTCTAAGTGCTATTTCCGAAACTGTCATCAGTAATAGGGTTCTTTATATCCATAACAGATTTCCTGCTCATACCCTGGGTAATGTTATAATGATTCATAGGACTTGAAACCTCTTGGAATTTAAGTCTATTCTAGGAAGTAGAGGAATCCTAGCGTCTTGGCTACATTTATGTCACTGTATTAGCTCTTCTTATCTTCTCTTAAGTTTTCATTACAAAACCTAAAGTCTAAGTATAGGCATTATTCAGATCAATTGGAGCTTAATTTCTTTTTGACAATTGGTTAGAATTCGCTTCAAGATTATTGGTATTTATATCTCTTTTATACATACTGTTTTCACTAATGTGGTAAGCTGGGGGCATAGCTCCTCTGAATATGTTATTCTCAAAGTAGCCTTCTTTCGTCGTTCCATCTGGGAATACTATTCTACCGTATCCATGCTGAATACCTTTCTCCCACTATCCAATGTAAAATGAACCATCTATCCATTTCATCTCCCCAAAGCCTTCTCTGTCATCATTCCTGTACTCTCCTTTGAATATATTTCCACTCTTACCCCATTTGAAAGTGCCGTAGCCATGCTTTTTATCGCTTACATATTGGCCTTCATAGGTGTTGCTTTAAAGATCATCTTTTTATCTTCTCCATCTCCCATGTCCACTTTTCATTCCTACTTAGAAATCTCCCTCATAGATTGAACCATCATTCAGCATGTACTAACCATATCCTTCAAATCTGCCCTGCTTATAGTAGCCAATGAATACTTCTCCATTTGCAAACAGCTCTACTCCTTTTCCATGCTTTAAACAACCCTTCCATTCACCTTCATATCGATCGCCATTCTTGTAAATATGAATGCCATAGCCCTCAACCTTGGAGTTTCTCCATTCACCAATGTAGGAATCTCCTTTCTTTCCAACCCAAACTCCATATCCGTGCTTTAGCCCTTGGTACCATTCTCCTTCATAAGTGTCGTTATTTAACCATCTATAGATTCCTTTTCCTTCTGGTTTACCTCTGTGAAAATTGCCCTCATAGGTATTGCTATTTTAATATTTCTCAAATCCCTAGCCTTATCTATAGTCAGATACCCATGGACCTTCATATACTCTGCCACTCTTGTATATCATTATGCCTAAACCCTCTCTATTCAGATTAGTTTTATCCTCTTCTCCAATATATATAGATTCTTGGTACTTTTTAACAGTAAAATTTGGACTCTGCCTGATTTTCCTCATATCTATATACTTGCTGATTGGCTAATAGTCCTCCATGAATAATGTGCTATTTTCAAAATTTATCACTGAGTCCTTGTAACTCTTCAATCCTTTTATCTTTCTATTGATAGAATAATAAATTAATATGAATTATTTTACTTGAAAGGAGACTTGTTAATAGTGGCTGATTTGAATTTGAAAGGCTTTTCCTTTGATTAAGTAACGCTTTCATCGCTACTATCATTCTCTCCACCGTTAGATTCATCATAGGATGATTTCCTTCCCACGTCTCCTGCATAAATTTCCTAGATACCCTGCACTATCTAAATTCAAGTTAACATTGAATTTGGATTTACATTTTCTAAATTGGACTCCATTAAGAAATTAAGATTAAAATAATATATTTCATTTAAACTAATCAACTTAAAGTAATGTGAATTCAAATTCATTTCGATAAATTAATAGTAAGTTAAGTAAACACATTGATTATCAATAGCAAGTAGTTGATTCATCCTAATAAATTCTTCTACTAGTTGCAGTTTAATCTCCTAGATTACTGCCACCAGGCATAATACTCTATTTTTTATTCCCAAATTACTTTCGACTTTGAGTCACCTTTAGTTATTGAGTCTTTCCATCAATAATCTCATCTCTCATCTACTTTAGCTTTTCATATTCATCATACAAATCTAGTGCCAAGTCAACAGCCTATTGCAAAGCATTCTCAGTCACCTATTGGATTTTCCTCTCAAGCAAACAACCCTCACAGTTTTTATCCTTTAGCTTCCTGCTTTGATTAAAAATCTATTTCTTTTACTTAATAGTTTCATTAAGCAAGCAAGTTGATGAAGGCATTCTGGCACTCATCTATTGCATATTCATGAAGCTATTACTCACATTTGGTCCAGGCCCAGTGCCTATATCCTTGATATTCTTGTGAGGGGAGTTCTCATCCATGATCATACTCTAGTCATATATTGAAATGCTTGGACTCATATCATTATTAGAATGACCTATAAAGTTCTCCTTTTGATCGCTATCGATTCCCTTGGTATTGCTATGGTTATACTAGCCATAGCTAGTTTTCATTACTTTTTTGTTCTAACTTTTTAGGGCTCTCTCTATCATATTTGCTGCTTTATGGTTATTATTCAGAGTTGCTGATACATTAATGCTGCTACTAAAAAGATTATTCTTGTTTCCAATGCCATTGAAATTTTGATTATTCACATTTAGGGTAACATCTCTGGACTTCTTACTCTTTTCAAGTGCCTAGTTTAATTTTTTAGCAATAAAATGATGTGTGAAGCCTTTCCATTCTAATAGTTAATTAGTTGCAGGTTAAATGCTTTCCTGTCCCAGACTTATTGCAGACTATTATTTAGAATTGAGATGATTCTAAGTCTGCTTTACAAACTTCTTATATGACATTTGTGAGGATGAGTTATTTGAGATCGAAGATGCTCTCGGTATAGGTGAAGTGGAGCCAAATTATTTTTTTAGTGAGCTTGTGAATGGCGCCTAGTTTTTAGGGTATGATGGATGATGCTTAGAAAAGAGGCTATTCTCATTTGAAGGAATCTTATAATCTGCAGTATTGACTAGGATGGGGTTGTTCTGATTCAGTATGAAATGAGAGCTTTTTCTTTTAATTAGGTCTGCCAGAGGTGACTATTTACTGTTGAGCATTTAAATTTGAAATTATTTATTTCTATTAAATCAATCTGCATCAAACCCCTTCTAATTGATTCACGGGGTTTTGGGGTTTTGGGGTTTTGGGG